CAGGCTGACACAGCAGGAGCAGAGGAAGTCAATGATATGCATAAATAATAATAATATTTTATTTAGGAAAAGTGCATATATAGATGCAGAGTTACAAACATACTGTTGGATGTATAGATAGAAGTAGTATATACAATACTTAAAGCCATTAATACGCACAGCGTTTCGGGCAAGGTGTGAGGGAAACACTTAGACTAGAACTTAATAGTAATTGGGAGTAAAGTATAAATTGTGTTGAAAAAAGGAATAAAGAAAAAAAGAAAAAAGGTGGGAACATGGCAAAAATCAGCAACTGTACAAGTTGGTCAACAAACAGCATTGTTTAGAATAGCAAGACATGGGTTGACATTTAGGGGTGAGGTTAGGGAGGTCATTCCACATTCTGGGTCCTTTGAGTGGTAGAGCATTTCTAGTTTGACTAAGTCGTACTCTTGGAATATCAAATAGGTATTTGTTTCTGGTGTGGTGCTCATGGGTTCTGTTACAACCTTCTAGGAAGCTTTTGAGGTCAGGATTGGCATTACAGTTCAGCGTTTTATATATGTATAATACACATGAGAGAATGTGCAGTGACTTAATGTCTAACATATTCAGAGATTTAAGTAAGGGTACCGAGTGATGTCTGGGGCCAGAGTTGGATATTGTCCTAATAGCAGCTTTGTGTTGAGTAATTAGAGGACGTAAATGATTTTGGGTAGTAGAACCCCAAGCACAAATACCATAGTTGAGATATGGATAGATGAGGGAGTAATAGAGAGTCACCAGGGCAGGGCGGGGTACATAATATCTGATCTTAGAAAGAATGCCAACAGTTTTAGAAACTTTTTTGATATATTTAGAATGTGTCCCTGGAAATTCAGCTTGTGGTCAATGAGGACACCAAGAAATTTGCCATCTACTCTATTACTAATTTGGATATTGTTTAATCTTATATAAAATTTACTTAAGGATTTATTGCCAAACAGAATATAGAAAGTTTTGTCAATGTTAAGGGTGAGTTTGTTGGCAGTTAGCCACAGATGGACTTTATTTAGCTCAGTATTTACTGTGGCATTTAGAGCAAGGGGGTCAGGACTGGAGTAAATGAAGGTTGTGTCGTCAGCAAATAGAATTGGTTTGAGGTGTTGGGAGGCATTTGGAAGGTCATTAATGTAGATGAGAAAGAGGAGAGGGCCAAGTATGCTGCCCTGAGGAACACCAATGTTGATGGGTAGTGTCGGAGAAATTGAATTATTCACAGAAACATACTGGAGCCTGTCAGTAAGGTAAGATTTGAGGTATTGCAGGGAGTGTCCTCTGACTCCATAATGATGTAATTTAAGAAGAAGGTTTTGGTGGTTGAAGGTTCTACTTTTTAGTTTTGTTTTTGAATGACGCAAAAGTTGGACAGCTTTTCAATTCATTAGGGAGTGAGTAATTCCATCTATCATCATACTATCATGCAAGAGGAGCCACACATCTATGGATCATCCAATAAAATCAGCAGACTTCTAGATGTTACTACTGCTCGGCTTAGACTCGGTTACAAGTATCTCTGGGAATTCTCATTATCTGCTGATGTAGACCTGACCAAATGTAAACTGTGTCAACAAAATTATTCGCACACCCTCCGTCACTATGTGATGGAGTGCGAAAAGATACGTGAATTTAGAGACAATTCTATAACCAATGTTCCAACGATGTGTAAATATTTCATTCAAAATGATCTGCTACCAGACATTTTAGCCAAATATCCCCAGTTTGCTAACTGTAGGTAGTAACTGAGTGATTGTAACCTATCCACCGCTGCCCACTGGATGGGGGGCGGTGTAACCTATCCACCGCTGCTCACTGGATGGGGGACGGTGTAACCTATCCACCGCTGCCCACTAGATGGGGGGCGGTGTAACCTATCCACCGCTGCCCACTGGATGGGGGGCGGTGTAACCTATCCACCGCTGCCCACTGGATGGGGGGCGGTGTAACCTATCCACCGCTGCCCACTGGATGGGGGGCGGTGTGCAGGACAAACATATCAATTGTGACACTAGCTCTCCACATATGTCAGTTGCTTAATTTAGAACCTGTACTTGAGGTCGATCTCGAACCCATTGTTGATGTGACGACTTATATTGAATTTTGTAACTAGCTCATCACGATTGTAACTTGCTTAGCTAAATGAATTGTGGGGTTCAGTCCCTGAGCCCATTATGTGCATCTGTAACTCTTTCCACTATCGCCCACAAGATGGGTATGGGGGGCATAATAAATGAACTAAACTAACTAACGTCATTGGATAGGGGTATTGGTTTTTTATTTAGTTAGTTCAGTTCATTTATTATGCCCCCCATACCCATCTCAACTCAGAATGTATCAGGTTCATGATTTGTACCAAGAGAAACAACAACGGCACTTTCCTGCACCGTGGGAGGTTACACCCTTTCCAGTTTTAATCCCTCCCTTTCCACCCAAGAAGCAAATTAGAGATCAGCCCAAGCTTCGTCTTGAGGCAAAGCTCAACGCCTTAAGCCATATTGATGCTCTCTCCACAGAGCATTCTCTCTCTCAAATTATATACACTGATGGTTCCCTACACCGCACCACGGGTGCAGCTGGAAGTGCAGTTGTCCTGACAATGGGCGATGGCCTATACTTTGAGTGGGGAGTCCGTATAAACAACTGGGCCTCTACCCTTCAGACTGAACTATTTGCCTTGATCCTTGCACTGAAATGTGTACAAGTCTCAAAACTTGATACATTAATTGTAAGTGACTCCTTATCATCCTTAAATGCTCTCAACTCTTTAAGACATAACTGTAACATGCTCGTGTCCGAAGCTAGACACAAATATAACAAAATTATTAAGGATGGTAACAGAGTCCATTACATGTGGTCTCCATCTCATGTTGGCCTCCGAATGCATGATAGAGCTGATAAGTTAGCCAAAGAATCTGCCTTTAAAGGAGCCGTTGAGTGTAACCTTGGATTGTCAATGAGCAATCTGAGAGCAGCAGTACACCGAGAACTTCAACAAGATCTTGTAGATCTGAGGCAAAGTGAAATTGACACCAGTAATTCCATCTATCATCATACTATCATGCAAGAGGAGCCACACATCTATGGATCATCCAATAAAATCAGCAGACTTCTAGATGTTACTAATGCTCGGCTTAGACTCGGTTACAAGTATCTCTGGGAATTCTCATTATCTGCTGATGTAGACCTGACCAAATGTAAACTGTGTTTACATTTGGTCAGGTCTGTTAAGTTATAACTCTGTTAAGTTAAGTTATATAAAAACTGTTAAGTTATAACAGTTTTTGTTATCCATTTGGAACAATGCTGATCTTCAATAAAGATTCAAAATCTTTTTTGATCCTATTATTTGGGAGATAGTGCTCCATGCTTTTATAATGTTGCCCCTAATTTGGGTAAATTTATTTTCATATTATTTTATTTTGGCTCTTCTAATTATATTAGACAACATTGATGAGTAAATCTTTGCAAATTCTTTGGAGACGACTCCTAACCTATACTTCTCCTCAAGGTCATGTTTTTACTTAATAGATTTCTCTGTAACCTCTTTGTAACTCTTCTTAAACCCCTTTGCAACTCCCCTGTAGCTGTAAGTTCTCCCTCATACAGTTTTTTTTTTTTTTTTTTTAGATATATACAAGAGTTGTTACATTCTTGTACAGCCACTAGTACGCGTAGTGTTTCGGGCAGGTCCCTGGAATACGATCCCCGCCGCGAAGAATCGTTGTTACAACCAAGTACACATTTTACTGTTGAGTTAAACAGAGGCTACAGTTAAGGAATTACGCCCAGTAAATCCTCCCCGGCCAGGATACGAACCCATGACAAAGCGCTCGCGGAACGCCAGGCGAGTGTCTTACCACTGCACCACGGAGACTGAAGGGCAGCTAAGGGCAGGAGAACACTACAGCTTGAGCGCTGGTATACCCCATGAAGCAATACATGGGTATACGTGCCCAGGGCACCAAGGGAGGTGGGGGCACCACACACTACCCTTTTCAACAAATGTTTCCATTGTAATTTTTCTCCTTATAACAGTTTTAATAAAAAACAATACATAAAACAGTGACGAAAATTATAATTTTATTTTCTGTTGCCCTATATAGTTATAGGTAACATTAATTGGCTTATATTGTTGTCTGGTTTTTAGCGTTAAATAACGACAGCAAAAAAATGTTTATTTTTAATATAGTTGTGTTGTGGCGCGGGGGAAGACCTTGAGGAAAATACTTCATCTCGACCACTTGAGTCTAATTGTCTTTATTGTAGCTACAGCGACGGAAGGCCCTCGTGGGATACTGTTATTGTGCTCAGCTTAGGGCATCAGCTGGTCTTAATACAGTCTTGCCAAGCTTTTGAAATATAAAATTAGATTCCATGAGCCATCCTCGTGGCTATATAGGTCTATATTACATAATTATTTTTAATTAACCATATAATTGTATCACTATACTGCAACTGCGGTAATTATGAACCTCCAGTGTATATTAATTACGATACAGATGTGAAAAATAGATTTAGTTGTCCTTGGATTAATAGATGAGTAATTAAGAGTTGTATACAAGAGGAGACATTCACCGGCTGCGAGTACGAGCGCGCGCATGCGCCCTGCACCATACGGGACTTCTTGCCCCATCAATGAAATCGCTCAAGTACTCGCTGTAAATCATTGTAACAACAATATGCAGCCAATTTGGGCGATTAAAGCTTATACGCATGAATAAAATAACAATTATATTAGTAAAAAAAATCAGGAAAGTATTTTTGTGCCTTTAAACATGTATGCAGTAGCCTTACTCACCGATTAATTGATATCAGTACCTGACCGTAAATATCCCACAGCTCGGGAGATTAACTGAATTTAACCCCGGGTAGTTTACCATGGCTATTCATGGATGTATAAGAGTGTATCAGTGAGAAATAAGGGTGATAAGTGTGAGAGTTTAGGTGGGGGTGTTGGGCGGGTAGTTGAACCTGCCGTTGTGATCCGTCAGTGAAGGAAAACATGGCGGTGGCAGGTGATGCGGGCGCCAAGGATGACATAAAGACTCAGTTCACGACGATAGAAGGCGTCTACCGCTTACTGCCACTCTCCGAATACAGTAGACCCAACCGTATAGCGTACAATAACAGCGGCGGGAGTGGCACTATACCCGCCGTCAGGGTCTCCTTCGTCACTTTACCCGACGCCAGTGGCAATATTAGCGCGATAAACGGCGATAGAACCAAAATATGTTTCAATTACGGCCGAGAACTGTTTGTATATACGTATAGAGGCATTAAGAAGGTACGTAGGGGTGTGTGTGTGGGTGGCGCCGGGCGTCAGGCAGGTGAGTACCTTAGGGAGTAGTGATTTAGTGGCCATTTTCCCCCCAGGGATGGTGGCACTCACATGACAGGTCACTGTCACGGCCTGTCACTGCTGCCACGGGGCCAGGACAGTGCCAGGGGGGGGGGGGGTGTTGTACTGGCCTAGGTGTGCTTGTGGGGGTTGAGCTCTGGCTCTCTGCTCCCGCCTCTCAACTGTCAATCAACTGGTGTACAGGTTCCTGAGCCTATTGGGCTCTATCATATCTACATTATAAACTGTATATGGAGTCAGCCTCCACCACATCACTGCCTAATACATGCCACCTGTTAACTACTCCCACACTGAACAAGGTCTTTCTAATATCCCTGTGGCTCATGTGGGTACTCAAATGTGTGTGAGTGTAATTACCTAAGTGTAGTTACAGGATGAGAGCTACGCTCGTGGTGTCCCGTCTTCCCAGCACTCTTTGTCATATAACGCTTTGAAATTACTGACGGTCTTGGCCTCCACCACCTTCTCACCTAACTTGTTCCAACCGTCTACCACTCTGTCTGCGAAAGTGAATTTTCTTATATTTCTTCGGCATCTGTGTTTAGCTAGTTTATATCTATGACCTCTTGTTCTTAAAGTTCCAGGTCTCGGGAAATCTTACCTATCGATTTTATCAATTCCTGTTACTATTTTGTATGTAGTGGTCATGTCACCTCTTTTTCTTCTGTCTTCTAGTTTTGGCATAATTAATATGTGTGTGTGTGTAGGTCAGGGCTGCCTCCTGCTCCCTGCCATGATGCTACATGTGTTAATATGTAGGATTATATTATGCTACATGTACTGAAGTAATTTGTCTCTCCGGTGTATATTATGTATTGGTACCATGGAACGGTGGTGGGGCATTAGACTTGTGGCTTATCAAACTCCAGAGGGTTATTAAGGCCATCACCACGGAGGGTTATTAAGGCCATCACCACGGAGGGTTATTAAGGCCATCACCACGGAGGGTTATTAAGGCCACCACCACGGAGGGTTATTAAGGCCACCACCACGGAGGGTTATTAAGGCCATCACCACGGAGGGTTATTAAGGCCACCACCACGGAGGGTTATTAAGGCCATCACCACGGAGGGTTATTAAGGCCATCACCACGGAGGGTTATTAAGGCCACCACCACGGAGGGTTATTAAGGCCATCACCACGGAGGGTTATTAAGGCCATCACCACGGAGGGTTATTAAGGCCATCACCACGGAGGGTTATTAAGGCCATCACCACGGAGGGTTATTAAGGCCATCACCACGGAGGGTTATTAAGGCCACCACCACGGAGGGTTATTAAGGCCATCACCACGGAGGGTTATTAAGGCCATCACCACGGAGGGTTATTAAGGCCATCACCACGGAGGGTTATTAAGGCCATCACCACGGAGGGTTATTAAGGCCACCACCACGGAGGGTTATTAAGGCCACCACCACGGAGGGTTATTAAGGCCACCACCACGGAGGGTTATTAAGGCCACCACCACGGAGGGTTATTAAGGCCACCACCACGGAGGGTTATTAAGGCCATCACCACGGAGGGTTATTAAGGCCACCACCACGGAGGGTTATTAAGGCCACCACCACGGAGGGTTATTAAGGCCACAACCACGGAGGGTTATTAAGGCCACCACCACGGAGGGTTATTAAGGCCACCACCACGGAGGGTTATTAAGGCCATCACCATGGAGGGTTATTAAGGCCATCACCACGGAGGGTTATTAAGGCCATCACCACGGAGGGTTATTAAGGCCATCACCACAGAGGGTTAATGCGCTTGGCATGCGCATTGCAAACTTAAAGGTCATGTCTCCGGCATGCAGACGAGCACAGCGACACCAAAAATGTGTATACTCATATCAGTTTTCTCACCTTAATTGCCGTATTACGTCATTCGTTTTGGTATCATTTTGTTCACAATAGAATTCCGTACAGGTGTATATGCATATAATGTCCAAAAGCCCGGCGTGACTCCCCACAGCAAAGCCTAAAGTTTCCCATGAACGAGCACCAATTTGCACACCACGGCCTAATGTGTATACTCGTTCACTTTGATAACATCAATTTTCATGTTACGTCTTTCGTTTTGGTATCAAATTGTTCGCAATATAAAGGCGCGTATTTTAAAACTAGTCCCATAATATTAGCACAATAAATAGGATTTTAACAAATTATAAAATTTGGCCCAAAAACGTATTTGTAATCTTTCAAGTGTTTTGACATCAAGTTTCATGTTACATCTTTCATTATGGTATCATATTGTGCACAAATTAAAGGCGCTCATTTTGAAACTATCTCAAAATCGATCGGATAAAAAATGAATTTTATACAAATATTTTTTTGTTGGTCTCATTTTCGAGTCCAGTGTTCGGACTAGGGATAAAAATGAGCCTAGCCTAGCCTTGATATGAACCTTGCATGTACTGTATGTATAAGCTGGCTGCCTGTCCCGCGACACAATAAGTTAAAATAATAATAATAATGATAATTTATTCACAACGTACAATGGGTTGGTGAGATTACATAAGATTTGTATATTTTTTTATTATTGGAAAGCCACCAAGACGCATAGCATTTGTGGCAGGTCCTTAATCTAACATATTAGGTAAGATAAAAAGGTGCATTGTAGCAAGGTCTTATATCAACAACTACAATATAAATTGACAGAGGTGATTATACAGGTAAATTAGTCTTAAGTACTAATATTGGGGAAGTGGTTAGTACTGTACAAGATACAGTGAGAGTTTGAAGCACAAGGTAGGAAACTGTGAAGATGAAATTAGGTACGTTTTGGTTTTACTTTTGAATAGGGCATAAGTTGGAAAATTTTTTAATTTATCAGGGAGCGAGTTCCAAAGACTGGGTCCTTTTATTTGCATGGAGTGTTTTCGCAGATTTAACCCGACTGGGGATATTAACCCCGGAACTGTGCACCTGTTTTTGGCAAAAGCTTCATAGTGCAATTGTTAAGGACATATTTTTGTTGTTTTTATAAATGATCAGGTAAAGTTAATCTCAAAACGTTTCCAAACTCGGCTATTTTCATTTCAAAGCACAGAGTGATGAAAACAATTATTTAAAAAACATTAAAATATAGCCTAAGTAAAAAAAAACGCACAACTCTCAAAACGACATTTGTTGTTTGGCGCAGTGGTTAAAAAACCAGCGTTGACTGTAATGAAACGCCATTTTCTGGGTAAGACCCGGAGGCTCCCCAGAGCTATACTGGCATGATGTGTATATATTTGACCGTGGCAACAGTCAATCGAAGAAGTTCTAGGCCTATCAGGGACCAGAGCCAGAACCTGGCCCCCTTGAGAGGCACGAGGAGCAATGGCCTAAAGACACACCCGTGTAATTGAAAGCAGTCTTTGTTTGCCATCTACCAGGTTAGGCACCCAGAAAGGTAGGAATTCCAAAACAAACTACTGCTGGTCAAAAATTGCAAACCGAAAGCCGAACTACAGAGGCCATGGCGTGCAAATAACGGCAAAGAGCCACAACCGGACATAAAACATGATGCATTCCCGGCCGAACCAACCAAGCATCACCAACTCGAGGACGCCTTCGGAAAGCAGCAGACTCATTCTTCGCCAGAAGAGAAGATGGCTGCAAACGAAGAAACAACCGCCAGGACCAAAAGAGCAGAAACCCCTGCGCCGGAGGAGAGCATGAACCTCTCCGACCCGACCTCCCGAGGCCAATGCCAACAAGAAAAGAGCCATAGAAAAACAGTCCTGAACCAAAGGGGCCACCACAAACCGAGTATAAGATAGAGAAGAAAGCACCTGGTCCAATGACCAGGACGGCTCGGGTGACGCATGAGCAGGCCGCAAGTGAAACACCTGAGAATGCTTGCGGAACGGAGCAGAAGTGACATCCACCCCAAATGCAAGCTGCAGCGGCTCCGCCAGCGCCGCATGATACGAGGCGACAGTATTTGGCATAAGATGGTCTTGAAACAACCAAGGCAAAGGGACAAAGAGAAAGGACAAAACAACCCGACCAGAAATCGAAGACAACTTACGAAGAGACAAAGTGCCGAAAGGACCGGCAGGAAATTTCATACTGCCGTCGAGACGAAACTCCCAGGTGGGACACCATCATCTAAGCCACCTGATCACCATACAAGTGGTGATAATCCCATGTCAAAAAGACCAGACGCAAAGAGCGGAGAAGATCGAACCAGCCACGTACCGGAGCGGACCGATCTGCTGAAAGAGGTGGAGCCGCAGCAAGACCTTCGGGTTCGGACATCGAGCAAGAAGCGCCTGAAACCAGGGCTGGGCCAGCCACCAAAGAGCCAACAGGACTACTCTCCCCTGGTAAGTGTCTCCAAGCGAGCCAAGACCCGGAGCAACAACCGAACCAGTGGGAAGAGGTACAGATAACCCAACCTTTACTAGTCCAGTTGAAAGGCATTGACCCCAACGACCTCAGTCTTGTAAGAGCGCCACTTTCACTGGAAGACACCTCGACCATGCCGATGTGAAGAGGTCCACCTCCAGGCACCCGTACGTCCGGCAGAGCCAACTGAATGAGTCGATGTCGACCGTCCATTCGATGGATAGGGGATTGAACTGAGACAGGCCGTCCGCCAGGACGTTTGACACCCCTTGAACGTGAACCGCCAAGAGAGCCAAACCCCGAGAACTCGGTAGACGAATCATCTGAAGTGACCAGTCCCAAAAAGCCAAGGATCCAGGAATCCCATCACAATGGTTGTACTCTTCAAGTCACTTGTGTTGTCCCGTCTTGAGTCCATTCAGACTGCTCCCCGGGGATTCATTGTCTGAACCGCAGGGGTTCGATGTGGTTGATACCTGGTTGATGGGGTTCTGGGAGTTGTTCTACTCCCCAAGCCCGGCCTGAGGCCAAGCTTGACTTGTGAGAGTTTGGTCCACTAGGAGCGGCCCGCAGGCCCACATACTGTACCCACCATAGC